GGAGTCCCCCCCATGGCCCATTTTGGATCCCAAATAAGTACATGACCTACACGGAGGCTGAGGGAGGGTGAAAAATAGGCCTCTTGGAGGCTCTGGGCCTGTTTCCAGCCTCCAGGGAGCCTCCAGAGCCTGAGGAGGGCAAAAGAATTATAAAATGCAAAAGTAAATAGAAAAGCGGTGGAGGGTGGGGAGGAAAGGAAGGAAGAGAAATGAGGAAAGATTAAAGGAGAAGAAGCACTGACGTCCATCTCTGTTGCAGTAAAATATGCCATTAACATCAAATCCCAACTTAACATAATAATAGGAACCAGCCATTTCTATCAAGATCTATCAGTCTAATAATCGGTAAAACCCAAAATCAAAGTACCTTTTGCAACCTTCTGACAAGCAAAGTCAACGGGGGAAGCCAGATTCGCGGTACACGCTGAACAACCGCAGTGATTCACTTAACAACTGGGGCAAGAAAGGTCGCAAAATGGGGCAAAGCTCACTTAACAAATGTCTCGCCTAGCGACAGGACGTTTCAGCTCAATTGTGGTCAGTTAAGTCAAGGACTACTTGTAGCCGGGGGTGGGATTCTCCAGGTTTAAGCAACCGGTTCAGTGATCGTGCGATTTGCATGCGCAACACTCAAGTAACTCAGCTGAGAAGTTGCAATCCGCTGTGCAGCGCTAATTAGCTGAGATAGGTAGGTAAAGCACGGGGCAGGCGGGCCACACAATAGCCACAGTGAACCAGTTAGCTGCCAGCTGATTTTCGGAACAAGGGGTTCAGCCGAACCGTCCAATCCCACCCCTGCTTGTAGCCTCTAACTCCTTCTGTCAGGATTCTGGCACTTAACCCCATTTAAATCATGAGTCTCGAGCCAAACTTCCAAAACTTCAAAAAGGATTTATTTGGAGTTAACAATTCTGGCATTGCCTGGATGTAGCCGACTCTGAGACACATCAATCATTGTCACCCTTGACCCTGGATTTCCCCTACTCCCCTGGGTGTATCGTAATTCATATTCTCTAATGGGACACATCCATAGCCAAGAGTCATCCATCCTACTCTCCAGTTAGAATTTTGCACGGCAGAAACTTCAATCACCTAGTTACTATCTTTGAAAACATTTATGGAATGCACTTTTGGTTGCAAGCTGCCGCACCGCTGCCCCGTCTCTGTTTCTAAAAAGGCAATGGAAATATTTTATGAGTTGACACCTTCTCCCTCTTCTACAGAGCCAGCGTCTTGAGGATCAACGCACGGAGCCTCCTATCCCGGTGGGAATTCAAGGGCTACTGGATTTACTGCTTTCAGCTCAAGGGACCCGGATGGAAGACCAGCGCTCTGCCCTTCCTCCGGGCCTAGCCGCCCCACCCTTGCTAGGAAGGCAGCCCTCCTTTCTACACGGAGTATGAAACTCCTCTTTCCTTCATCATTTGGGAGTTCAAAAGACGATTAACCTAGTCGGAAATGGGAACTGGATTGATCTCAGCTGTGAGGACTGAAAAATATCAAACCATGTTGGAAGACTTTGGGCAGGAAAGGTATCACGCTTTGCAAGAAAAGGAAGAGGAAAACTCATGCTCCAGCACAACACAGCTTTGCAAATGACTAATTTTTTTAAAAAATACTGGCTATGACATGTAGATGCTCTCTGAGCTTGGTGTTTTTCTCGCAGAGGTTTCATTACCAAACTAGGTAACGTCATCAACGCTGGAAGGGAGCGGGGTTGACATCTATCCTTTCTATTGCTCAGTGGAGACTCCGGCCCTCCCTCTCTGCCTCCTCCCTGCCAAAAGCCAATACGGGCAGTACAGGTACTCCTCGACTCACAACCACCACTGGGGCTGAAATTTCTGCCGCTAAGCAAGATGGTCATTAAGTGATAATGCCTGGTTTTACCTTTTTGCCACAATCACGAAGCAAATCACACAGTCGTTCAGCAGATTTGACTGTCTCCATTGACTTTGCTTGCCAGACATCCGTTGGGAAGGCAATCATGTCACACACACACGCACACACACACGCACGCACACCCCCAGGACTCTACAACTGTTGTAAACATATCAGTTCCCAAGCACCCAAACTTTGATCACATGACCACATGGATGCTGCAATGGTCATAAGTTCAAGAACTGGTTGTAAATCGCTTTTTTCAGCACCGTTGCAACTTTGAACGGCCCCTGTCTAAATTGCAAGTCGAAGACTACTTGTGCATTTAGAGGGCCAATGAAAAGTCACAGCGGTGCCATGATTTTTAACAGTTTAGGGGTGGCATGAAAAGGAATGTACCATTGATTAAGGGCAGTGGGAAAATCTCTATTTGCAATATATGGGAGTCTTAAGATGCTACGAGACTGTGGATTTAAGTTTAGCGTGTTTATCCCCAAAAGCACTAGGCCTAATGTCTCAGCTAATTCGTCCCTGCAGTGAAAAAGCTCTTAAGTTAGCCCTTTTCCTAAATAATTTGATGTTTAGTGCAATGTTTCTGAATCGGGATGCCTCCAATTGTCCTATGCAAAGCCATCCTAGGGAAATAGTTCAATAGGTCTAGTAAATTATACCTAGAGCTTATTTGAAAACGACAAAATAAATGTAGCTGCTTTCATTTGCCTGCGAAGAAAAGAGACAGGTTGATGGTCTTCTAATTCCTAAACATATTATGGATCCTGTTTTATTTAAGAATTGCTAGAGAACCCTGCTGGATCTGGCTGTCAACCCATGCAAACCAGCATTCTGAGTCGCACAGTGGCCTATTGGCTTATGTTGGGGAAGCTCACAAGCCCAGATTGGAGAGCGAGCACCTTCTTCTCCTCTTTCTCCCTGGTCATGGGACTTTTCAGATTTTGGGACCCATATGAATCTCTCACACAATGTCTAGGTACGGAGTCTCTGCTGCAAAGGGACAGCCATGTAAATTCGTTTAATAATTAAACGATAGGTACGTCCCATTCCAAATATTGAAAATACAAACAAGTGGTCGAAGTGACATAGTATTCCTGTTTGCGGTAATACAGTGTTCATGCACAAGGGAAGTTTTGGAATTTATAAAATTTGAGGGGAAGGCATCAGAATAGGGCTGATCAACCTTGGCAGCTTTAAGATGCGCAGACTTCGACTCCCAGAATTCCCCAGCCAGCCATGGCAGTTGAAGTCCACACATTTTAAAGTCACCAAGTCTGAAACATCCTCCGTTGGGATCAACCCTTAGGAGGTATGATGTATAAATCAGCACCCACAAAAGCTATGTTGCCAAAACTTGTTCTATAGTCTGATGTTTATTCTCACTATGTTGAGAGTATAATTCCCTAAATTCAAGGTGATGTTATCCCGATTTAACTAGATCTAAAGGCTCTGTGGTGGGGCTCTTCAGTTCCACTTTGTGTGTGTACATTTGTACTTGCCTGGAAGTGGAACCATAACTGAATTTTCTCACTAATTAAGCTAATCCACCCCCACCTCCAACATATTTAGCACATAAAAGCTAACCAAATTTGCAGCTGTTGACTGCTTCTCATTCTTCATGCACAATTGCGCTTTAATGCGGTCGTAATAAATTTTGTTGCAAAGCTACCGTGTTGTGTTTCTGTGCACGAGAGGGTTCAAGCACAGGTGAGCATGTAGCAGGAAAGTGAATCAGGACCGAACAAGTGGGTGACGCTAACCACTAAAAAATCCCATAACTTTTAACTGGGCGAAATGGTACCTTGTAGGAAGAGCAACCATTTTTTAACCAAGGTATCTCAAATGGGCTAACTTACAGGCATCCAAAATGACTCCTGTGGATTTGAAATTTGGAAATTTTATTAAACATTTCATGACAGAAAAATGATCATTAAAAAGTTTAGGCCATGATACGAAATGTCATAAAACATTTCCTCTGTAAATATTTGACTGCTGTATAGTTCGGTACGGTCTACTTTCAAGGCAGATACATTTCTCTGAAGGTCTCCTTGGATTTTTAAAGAATTTTAAAAGAACATTAGAAGCTCTGCCATTGTTGAAGACATTGAGAGATCAGATCAAGAAATATCTCTGAAAAATACCAATGTCATTATTGTTTTTCTTTCAGACAGCTAAGGTGTCGCAGGCTATTTAACAGGAAAATAATAATGGATGTTGTGCCTGTGTTTGGTTAAAATGATACAAGCCCTGATTCCTGGTTTATTTAGAGTGAGTGATGTATGGGTGTAAGCAAACTATTTATTCTCAGTGTTCCAGATAAACTAGGGATGGCTTGGTTAGAATTCTATCTGAACCTGGATTCCTCTTTTCTAAGAACAAGCTGGGATTATTAATGGAATTAATTTAGAGATAACAAACCAAAGTGATGGATTTATCACAATTCTAAATTATTTCATAGTTTCTTTACCCGCTTGCATGAATGAGATGTAAAACAAGAATGAAAGAGCTCTGTGGACTTTATCCAAGAACATTTGGAATAATTTAGATCCATTCTATCAGAATGTAGCTAGTTAACACACATTTAAAAACAGGCACAGTTTCAATCATATTGTGGCTTCCATTTTTACCGTTTTTGACTCTATCTTATAGCGGCCCTTTACAGATGTGTAATGAAGATACTTGCCACATATTAGAATTGCTTGTGGATTATTGCTGGCTATAAATAGCTCTTGATTTAAAGCCATAATTGACTCTGAAATTACAGTTGTAAATCAGGCTGGTCACTAAGGGAGCCAGGCACATGATTGCAGTCAATTTTATGACCTTTTTCCAGTGGTCATTAAATGAACTCATGTCCATTATGATCTGTCATAATTTCGATCAGTCACTTAAGCAACTGGTCGTAAGGAGAGGGTTACCTCTCAAACCACTTTTTCTTCTGAGGTAAAAATTAGTGGGGAAAACAATTAAAACATAGTGAAAAGTAGAATAAATGGGGAAGTGAATTTGACCCCTCAATCTGCTCCTCATTGAGTTGCAGAACACAAAATGATTTTGTTTTCTGAGGGTGACTTTCATTCTTCTCATCTGAGAATTTAGACACGAACTGACTGGATTTAAATGTAATTTGGGGAAATAAAAGAGGATTTAATACACACACATACGAATTATACCCCCAAGACAGGTAGTTCTCAAATAACGACCACAACTGAGCCCAAAATTTATGTTGGTAAGTGAGAAATTTGTTAAGTGAGTTTTGCCACATTTTACGACTTTTCTGCCCAATTTGTTAAGTGAATCACTGCAGTGGTTAAATTGGTAATAAGTGAATCTGATTTACCCATTGACTTTGCTCATAGGAAGGTCACAAAAGGGGATTACATGACCTTGGGACTCTACAACCGTCATAAATGTGAGTCAGTTGTCAAGCATCTGAATGTTAAATCACATGACCATGGGGATGCTGCAATGGTTATAAGTGTGAAAAATGGCCATAAGTCACTTTTTTCAGTGCCGTTGTAAGTTTGAATGGTCACTAAATGAACTGTTGTAAGTTGAGGACTACCTGTATTGTCTAATAATGCCTCTTAAGGGAGCTTTGGCCAAAATGAGAAGTGGTCGGTTGCTTTTTGCAAATGACGTCAGCTCTCTAAGGGTCGTGCCAACCCTTGCAAGCTAACGGAACAAAAAATAGGTAAAATGGATGCTACTTTCAATCAATTCAATGTAGGTAACGCAACTGCTCCCTGTAGTGAATTCTTTAAAGCCTTTGTCGCATTAAAAGTTGCATTTGGAGGCCTCCTTTGGGAGGGAGTCTTGTCTTGTAAAACAGTATTTGTTGCAAGTCAGTTAGACTTATATACCACTTCACAATGCTTTTACTGTCAGGACTCCAACATGCACCCTAATTCAAATCATAAGTCTCTAGCTGCATCTTTCAGAGTAAAAAAGATTGATTTATTAGGAGTTAGTTAACATGTCAGCATTACTCGGTTGCAGCCAACTCTGACACATCATTCATTTCACCCTTGACCCTGGTTTTTCCCCGCATCCACTGGATGTATATTCTCCAATGATACACATTCATAACCAAGAGTCATCAATTATGCTCTCTAGTAATAATTTTGCATGCCAGAAGCTTTGGTTGCCAAAGCAATTATCTGAAGCATTTAAGGAATGCACTGCTTTCCCCCACTCCCTTTCTGTTGACAACTAAAAAGACCAAGTAAGGTTTTTTTAGTTGACATTCAGCTTCCCTCACTTGCCCTTTACAGCCCTCTCTAAGCGGTTTATAGAGGCAGCCTATTGCCCCCAACAATCTGGCTCCTCATTTTACCATCTCGGAAGGATGGAAGGCTTAATTAACTTTGAACCTGGTGAGATACAAACTGCCAAATTGCAGGCAGCTGGTAGTCAGCAGAAGTAGCCAGCAGTACTGCACTCTAACCATTGCGCCACTGTAGCTCATTATAATATAACTCTTAAATCTCAATTATTTCAATTTTTTACAAGACCACCCATCTCACAGTGTAGGTAGCCCTCAATTTAGGACTGGTTGCTTAGCAATTACTATGGACCACCCAAAAGGTATTAAGATCTGGATCCAGTCCCCGGGGGCCTTGAGTTTGATACCCCTGGTCTAGACTGTTCTTAAACTGTTGTTAAAGGGAATGGTTGGAAGGAAAACCTATCTGGTTCTGTCCAAGCTGGGAGAAAGATGCTGGAAACAACAGCGAGGCCGATTGGAAAGAAAGTTTATTTATAACAGAACCACACACACACAAAGACAGAGTGCAGTTCTGGTTCAGCTGGACAAATGGCTGAGTGAGTGGATTTTCATAGGTGTCATCAGGGGTGGGATTCTACCAGTTTGCACCTGTTCGCTAGAACCGGTTGTTAACATTCTAAGCAGCTCGGAGAACCAGTTGTTAGAAGAAATTACTGGCCTAATCCTGTAAGGAAGGCAGGAAGGAAACATTCTGGTGTTGCTTACAGAAACTGCCTCTCCATTAATTCTTATTACGTTCTTGGCAGGACTAGACTTCCTGTCTCAGGTACTTCTCTGGAGTTTTTTTCCCTTCCTTTGCTGGTAATTTGCTTCTGTGGAGTGACCATTCAAAGTTACAATGGCACTGAAAAAAGCGACTTATGACCGTTTTTCACACTTACGACTGTTGCAGCATCCCCACAGTCATGAGAGGCCAGGTGAGGAGATGGTGCCTCGATGTGAGTGATATTGAGTTGGCCACATCCAGCCAATAACATGACCCCCAAGCCATGCCCACCACCTAAGCCACGCCCACAGAACTGCTGGTTAAAAAATTTGAATCCCACCCCTGGCTGCATGCGTGTGTTTGTGTGCACTGGCCCACTGCTCACATGAGTTGAGTTGCGTACGCATGTCACTCATGCTGCCCGGTTGTGAATAGGCCCCGGCTCGGTAGTGGGCCGCGGACCGGGTGTTGGGGACTGCTGGTTTAGGATACTAATTAAATATCTTCTGTTTTCCAATTATAAATGGTTGATTGGGACAGGTAGGACTTCGGACTGTTACACATTACAATGGTACTGAAAAAAGTTACTTCTGACCAGGGATGGGATTCAGCCAGTTCAGGCCTGTTTGGGAAAACTGGATGTTAAATTTACATCTAACATGACCACCAAGCCACGTCCACCCAGTCACATGACCACCAAGCCACGCCCATCAATTAAGCCACGCCCACAGAACCGGTTGTTAAAAAAAATTGAATCCCATGTGAGTTTTGCCGTGCCTTCACGCCTGGAATTCTTGCTCCTGCCCTGCCAAACTAATTACCTCGGTTTGGCTTGATTGGACTTAAACTTACAGTTTGTGTTGACCATGTATTGGACTTGATTCTCTGCAGTCAAAGGCTGTTCCTGGGAGATTTTTTCTTCAGCCAGAAGGTAACCTGGGCATTGGGTGCAAAGTTGGAGCTAATAAAGGGACTCCGCTGATTATCTGACTGTGTTGTCTTTGTGCTACACCCCAGGTCATCACAATAGGTTTCTGTGAGTTTGAAGTTTGGACTGTTCTGGGTGTGTGTGCAATGAAGGGGCTTGTGTTCTGAAGGGTGTTGGGCAATTCCTATTGCGGCTAATGCCTTTTGTCCTGTGTTGGATCTTGAGTCAGGCTCCTTTCTAATCCCATCCCTCTGCTTTTGTTAGCTGTCAAACTTTGCTGAAGGGCGTTTCGAAATATCCTATGGATGTCTGCCTGCAGTATTTGCTTTGCTTATGAGTGAAGCCATCTAGATAGCTGTCTTCCACTTTCAATAAGCTCTTTATCTCCTTAAGTGCTGGCATCTGCTGTGGGCTACTCTCTGCCTTTAAGAGCATGTTCCTGCCTTTGGGGAAATAGGATATTCTGCCTTTTTGAATATTTCCCCCAAAATTTCCATTCTTCTGCGGGTGGGTGGGCTTCCCACAGTATCAAGCATTAATTTATTGACAATATTCTTGATACACAATCAGAAAGGTTAAAATTTGCTGGTCTTTGCCTTCTTTTAAAAAATATATATATTTTATTGTTTACAACTATGTTTCAGTGCAACCGTTTTGGCCATACATACAAAAATATTACTAAACCATTAACATTCATATTATTGATACAGTATTTTCATTCTACTAGATCTATTCCTCCTAGCTATTTTTGTTCCGATCTTCCCCTCTTTTGTGTAGCCATTGATAAAACTTCTTCCAAGTATCATAATATTTTGATTCCCCCTTATTTTTGAGTTCTAAAGTTAGTCTATCAGATTCCGCACAAGTCATTATTTTCCTTATTATTTCTCTTTCTGGTGGTTTATTTTCATTTGTCCAGTATTCTTGCCCCTGTCAATACATGTGTATACCTTTATAACATATATGTAACTTTCTGTCATTATTCCTTAAAAGAAATCGTTCCGGCTTAAATTGAGTATGTAATTAGGTAGTTAGGACTGCAGAAAAAACAATTACTACCAACCTGCCTTCCATCGACCTGTATACTGCAGGTCAAAACAGAGGGCTGTGAAAATATTTACAGACCCCTCACATCCCGGACATAAACTGTTTCAACTCTTACCCTCAAAATGACGCTATAGAGCGCTGCACACCAGAACAACTAGACACCAGAACAGTTTTTCCCCGAATGCCATCACTCTGCTAAACAACTAATTTCCATAACATTGTCCAACTATTACAAAGTCTGCACTACTACTACTATTAATCTTCTCATCACTCCTTATCACCCATCCCCTCCCACCTGTGACTGTATGACTGTATCTTTGTTGCTTGTATCCTTACAATCTATATTGACTGTTTCCTAGTATGATTTGATTGCTTATTGTACCCTATGACTATCATTAAGTGTTGTACCTGATGATTCTTGACTTTTGACAAAAGTATCTTTTTTTTTAATGTACACTGAGAGCATTTGCACCAAGACAAATTACTTGTGTGTCCAAAAACACTTGGCCAATAAAGAATTCTATTCTATTCTATTCTATTCTATTCTATTCTATTCTGTTCTGTTCTGTTCTGTTCTGTTCTGTTCTGTTTGGTTCTGTTCTATTCTCCTCTACATTCTCTTCTCTTCTCTACATTCTATTTTATTCTATTCTATTTTCTATTCTATTCTATTTTCTATTCTATTCTATTCTATTTCCTATTCAATTCGCTATTCTATTCTCTTCTATTGTCAGCCTCAAGATCTCTTCGGCTATCCTATCTGCTATCTATCTCATGTCCTATCTGCTGCATCTTCTCTGCTGCCAGGCTTAATTCTTTCGGCTGTCATTAGCAAGGGGGGGAGGGGGGACTTGGAGGGAAGAGAGCTGGAGGTGTTTTGCATTCCTTTACTGTGGGTAAGCAAAGGGAGGGGGTGTATGAATTCTTGTCTTTAACTTTCCATTTCCTTGCTAGCTTCTATCCCCTTTTACGTAGCTGCGAAGTTTTATCAAAATATGTCAAGGTCAACGGATAGAGGCCTCATCAGCACCTGAAGATGCCCACATGATCATATTCCGAACTTTTAATTGGAAGAGTCTTTTGGACTTTGAGGTGTGGGAACAATTCCATTCCTTTGTATATGTGATCTGCCCGCCGATTTCTCAGATTCGGAATTCAATCTGTAGCTTCCACTTTGATTTCCAGTAAAAGGATAACTTTGCTCTAATCCATGGAGTCTGAGTATTTCTTTCTTGGATCTTGAAGGGAGCACACACTGACATCTATTCTATTCTATTCTATTCTATTCTATTCTATTCTCATTCTAATGTTCTCCCACCATTTGCTCCACCTATGTCTGTATCAGTCTCCAATATTTCCTTGCAGTGGTTTCATGTACCTGAGGTCTTTGCCTTCTTTTGAAAAGCTAAGAAAGCTGTAACACAGCTGGTACATTTATTTACCAAACAATCCAGGGTGTGTGTGGGTGTGTGTGCGTATTACAACGTGGCTCTCCCTCTGCCCTGGGCGGGGGCGCGCGAAGGAGAGAGTTCTACAAGTGGGACTGTGACGTCACAAACGGAAGGTTCCTTTTTCTTTTCTTTTCTCTTCTTTTCTTTTCTTTTATTTTCAACTTGAAAGTTTCGCTCTACCGCGAAGCCGGCTCGAGTTCTAAATGAGCGAAAGCGGCGAATAAATGGCGGCTCCCTGGCCCCTCCGCCCCACCAAGACCCCACGAGCAAAACTTTTCCGCGCGGGATGAAAAAAAACCCGATGCTCCTGCCCACCCACCCTCTCAGAGCCCGGTGTTTTCCCCGGGTCTCGGGAACCGCGGCGTCCACCCGAGGCTCCTCCAAAGGCTGCTCCGCTTTTCCGACATCACCCCCCCCCCAAATATCCACAAGTACACACACCCGGACAACTTCGCACAAGTAAAACTTCTCGCCTGGCTCGCTCCGCCCCCACCATCGTCTTTTTCCTCCAACAAACCTCCCCACTCACCCCCGTCTCCGCCCGGGCCGGATCAGCCACGTCAGCGGGAGACTTAAAGTCCCGACTGCAAGACTTCTGCGAGGGACTGAAGCGAGGAAGAGGAGCTGGCGGGGGTGGGGATCCGGGACACTGCAACCCCCCCCACCTCCCCGCCGCGCCCTGGGCTGAAGAAGACCCTCATTTCTAGCCCCCCCTTTTTTTCCTCCCGCCGGCATGGTTCTGCTGACCATGATCAGCCGGGTCCAAGACGGGCTGCTTTTGGCGGCCTCCATGCAAGAAACGGAGCAGGTAAATGGAGGGGGGGAGAGGGGTGAGGAGAGGGCAGGGACATCTTAACGGTATTTACGGGCTCCCCTGGCACGGCAGTGTACTTGGGACGTTTGGGGGCGGGAGGGCGGGGGTTGGACTAGATGACCTACAAGGCCCCTTCCAACTCAAGGTCCCTTCCGACTCTGTTAATCGGCAAAAGTACTCAACAGGAATACAAAGGTCAATGGTCGATGAAACGAAACATATCTTTTTTTTAAAAAAAATTATTGGCACTTCCTGCAAATAAATATGTATTTATTTTATTTATTTATTTATTTGATTTGTCAGTCGCTTACAAAATAAGAGGTATAAGTATAAACATGAGTAAGAATACAGAAAATAGGTACGATTAAATGGGGACAAATAGGACAGGGACGGGAGGCACGATGGTGCGCTTATGGACGCCCCTTAAATACGTTGCTGTGTTTATATGATACAAGGTGCGCTGAAGGGTTAACATACACAGATGAGGATGGGTCCCCTATGGGGCCCACGGCCAAGGGCCCATCAGAATCCTGCACCCCCACCACGACTCTAGCAATAAAAAAACCCTCAATTGCTCAGTTGCCTCAAGTTGTAGAGCAGAGGTCTCCAACCTTGGCAACGTTAAGATTTGTGGACTTCAACTCCCAGAATTCCTCAGCCAGCTTAAAGCTTAAAGTCTTAAAGTTGCCAAGGTTGGAGAGCCCTCTTCTAGATCAGGGGTCACCAGCCTTTGGGACCTCAGGAACTACCAAACTCATAATTTTAAGTCTCAGGGACCACTAATATGAATTTTGACTGACGGTAGCTTGCTGACGTTTTCCCAGGGTCTCTGCAGAAAGCAGCAGAGACTCTGGGAAAATCCCCCCCAAAAAAGTCTGCAGGAGAATTCCCCACTCCATTTTCTTAATGATCGATCATTCTTTATTTGAGATCGCAGGATACCGTCTCCAGCTCCGTTCTCGGGGAGAGAGAGAGAGAGAGAGAGACTTTTGGCTTCATGCAAGGAAAGCAGCAGAAGCACCAGAAGTCTTTCTTTCTCTCCCCCAAACTCAGCCAGAAATGACTCTTTGTGAGACTTCTTGTGACGGTGCAGCCTCTTGAAACAGGATGCCTTGCAGGGTCCCAAAGACTCATTTCTGGCGGAGTTTGGGGGAGAGAAAGACTTTTGCTGCTTTCCTTGCGTGCAGCCAAGAGCAGAAAAAGAAAGAAGCAGAAAGAACCAGGCCGGCGGCCAGGTCAGGTGCATGGAGCAAGTGGGGCAAGTTCCCTCTCTCCACCCTTTCCCCCCTCCCCTCACTACCTCATGTTGTTCGCAATCCAAGTGACGCAAGCTTTGTGTTCCCGTGGGCCATGTAGGTGGCGTAGCCTTGTGTTCCCGCGCAGCCTGGATTAATTGCTTTGGGGGTGACATTTCTCTGCATATTACCAACATTTTCTCATGGACCACCAGTGGTCCCCGGCCCACTGGTTAGCGACCACTGTTCTAGAGGGCACCTGCAATTTGCTTAAGACTCATTGTGTTAAGAAAGACAGGTGACAGTTTTTTATTGGAGAGAATGGATGGGTTTCTCCGGCGGTTTTATTTGGTTTTTAAAGCTCATTCTGAAGCGAGTAAAGGCGGCTTTACGAGCCTTGGGAAAACAATGCGCTTGGTTTTATTTAGATATCTGTCTCCCCTCTCCTTCTCCTTCCCCGTCTCGTCCTTGCTGTTTTACTTGCTGGCAATTTGGGGGTTACCCTTCGCCCACCGTTAGGCAGAGTTTGCGGGAATACCAGGAGAATAGCAAATGGTATTTTATTCCTGGCATGTTTTCGCGGCTTAGATTTCTCTTAGGGACCAAGCAGAGAGGACCTTGCTTTTCCTGGCTAAGTGCAGGAGGATGTCCCTGACTTACAACCAGGGCGTCTAAATGCAGATAACCCTCAACGTACGACTACAGTTGAGCCTGTATTTTTTTGTTGTTAAGTGAGACATTGAAGTTTGCCACCATCTTACCCCCTTTCTTGCTCCAGTTAAGTGAATCGCTACACTGCAAAAGCAGAGTTTGTCGTTTTCCCTCCACCACTTAGGTTGGGTGAGATTACCGTAGGATTCTCCGACCGGCTTCTGTCCGCCCCGTTGGGAGGGGTTACAATCTCTACTCTGGCTTTTTGAATGACAAACCTTTTCTTCCTCCCCCCCCACCCTTTTTACCTGAAGTCAAATCGGAACTTGCAAGAATATCACAATCAAGCCAAACAGCTTTTCCGAAAACTTGGGGATCATTCGCCAAACCGATGTTCTCTGCAGGCTGGAACGATGACCTTTCAGTAAGTTTTTTTCCGATTCATAAGTGAGGTGGAGAAGAAGATGATGGATTAAATTTAGATGCCATCCCTCTAGGGGTGGGCTTCAAAGGTTTTAGCAATGGGTTCTCTATCCGGTTGCTGGGTGGGCATGGCCTACCGGAACTTCCGGGAGGCCATTTTTTCATCTTCCCCAGGCTCCCAAGGCTTTCCTCAAGCCTCTGGGACAGCGAAAACTGGCTCTCCCGAGCTCCAGAGGCTCTCTGGAGGCCGGAAACAGGCCCATTTCCAGCCTTCTGGAACTTCCGGGAGACCCCTTTTTCCCCCTCCCCAAGCCTCCACACAGGCCCTGCACTTACCTGGCATCCAAAACGGGTTGTGTGGATACAGACATCACTATGGGTGTTTGCTACCTTCAAACGAAAAGCTCCAGATGTTTTGGACATGTGTGTGGACATAATGATACGTGACACAATGGTGCTTGTCCAAAAGGGATGGGACATCTATCACGAGTGGTGTGACACACACACACACACACACACACACGCATTCACCCTGAGATATGTTGAGGCACTGACAAATAATTTACAGGTGTGTGGAGTGTCAGCGTTCCAGCAAACCTGTCAGCTTTGGAAGCCATATTCCATGCTGCCATAGAGCAGTGATGCCACAGAGCCATTTGTGCCAGCACGCGAGCCGCAGGCAAACTTACCTCACTATGTATGCGCGGGCCTCACAGCTGATTTTTCAGCTGGTTTGAGGCCTTTTTCAGTATTTCCGGAAATACCGGAAGTGATGAAATGGGCCTATTATTCATTCTGAAAAGCCTGCAGAGGCTTCCCTCAAGCTTCTGGAGGCCGAAAAAGGCCTCAAACCGGCCAAAAATCAGCTGTGAGGTACAGTGCAGATAAGGGGGCGGCAGCGGGGGGAGTTGCACGCACATGTGCGGGACACAGGCGCATTGCCTTATGGTTGCTGGCACAGGAGTGCACAAGTGCGCACATAATTTTTGGCACAGGAGCCCAAAAAAGTTAGCCACCACTGCCATAGACCATATGCACAGGGAAGCTTATATGAATTCTTGTAAATTATTGTTTCCAAGTATCTCAAAGTTGCTTTTCCAAAAGTCAAATAGACTTTCTTGCTTTTTTTCCTTGAAAACGTTTTGCTTCTCATCCAAAAAAGCTTCTTCACTTCTTCAAACAACTGAAGAAGCTTGTTGGATGAGAAGCGAAACATTTTCAAGGGGAAACACCCCCCCCGCCCAAAAAAAAAGTCCAGTTGCCTTTTGGAAAAGCAACTTTGGGGCAAGATTGATTATCTCTAAACCTACGTGCAGATTTAGTTCTCAAATCACACCCCTTTTTCTTCTCGTTTCCTCTTAATTTCTCTTAATTTTTCTCTACAGTTACCTGATCAGCCAGGGGATTTGTTACCTGACGCTCTGCGAAGCTCACTATTCCAAGAAATTGGCCTTCTCCTTTCTGGAGGAACTGCAAACGGAATTCTGGGAACTTTATGGGAAGAAAATCTCATCGGTGTCCCGGCCTTACGCCTTCATTGAGTTTGGTAGGTGGAAAGGTGAATCGCTTTCTGACAAGGAATCCCATCGTAAAGAGGTCTGCATCATGACAGCAGCTTGTGCAGACGGCAGTGGAATTGGACAGTGGGGAAGAAAGTGGACCAGTCCAGGAGTCTGGGGAGGACTCAGACGAGGGTCCTGCGTTCGATGCAGAGATGGGGCCAGGAACATCTGGGAGTGGGTTGCTGACTCAGGAACCTCCAGAACAGCAGCAGTGAGGCAGAGGAACAAGGGGAGCCTGTTCCCAGTATGTGTGTGCGCAGAGCTGCTAGGAGGCAAGAGCAGCTAAGACAAAAGGGGCGACTCGGGAGTAAGGCTTGGAGGTGATTGCCCCTCCCATAAAGTATAAAGAAAGTGCAAAGATAGAGAAACCTTTGCAGGAAGCAAAGTCGTTCGCACTGTTTGGATTAAACCTTGAAGCTCTGCGTGGAGTTTTTGCTTCAGTTGGTTTTTTCTAGTTACTTTGGCACTTTATTGTTGGCAGCAATTCAAAGGAGAGAAAGGTGGGTGCTTATCTCGAGGGACTGTTTGGGACTCATTACAGGCTGGGAATGAACATAATTCCCAGCGTTGAAATAAAATGAGTTGTTTTAACTAAGCGTGTGCTTAATTATGTTTCAGGAAGTCTTGGTCAGAAGAGCATCCCTGGGCATCAGGTTGTCTGCCCACATCCTTAAAAGTCATCTGCAGAGATGCATGGGTCACGCAGAGCATCTCATGTGCATGTACAGAGACGCATGGCGTGCAGGGGGATCACACACGCGTGTGTAGAGACGTGGCGTGCACAGGGGTGGTTGCACGCATGCACAGGGGGTGTGGGGCATTGCCTTCTGGGTGCTGGCACACAAGCAATTTTTGGCACAGGAGCCCAAAAAGTTTAGCCACCACTGCTCCAAAAGATTATCTCTCCTCAGTTCCTGTGATTTTACTGTGTTGAATCAGAATTTCTCAAACTATATTTGCACAAAATTGGAGAAATGAAAAAATTCCGACAGAAGAGGAAATAATTAAGAAAATAATGGAATGTGCAGAAATGAGTAGATTAACAATGGCAATTAGAGAACAAGAAGAAAAAGACTATTATAAAATTTGGAATCTATTTTATGAATGGTTGGATAGAAGAGTAAAGAATTGAATTATATAAGTATAGTATAACATATTGTTACTGATAAATAGATGAGTTAGATAGAATAAGAAAATGAACTTGAAATATATTATTGAAAGTTAAGGACTTAAAAGTTAAGGATAATAGAATAAGTGACAAATGTGATATAAAATATTGATAAGAACAATTATAAATATATACAAGTTAAATATGCATGATATTATTTTGTGCATGAAGGAATATGTACTCAACTGACACACTATGGAACAGAAAGAAGGTTTTATGTTTGTCTTTGTTGTTGTGATAAAAATAAAAAACTTTTATTTAAAAAAAAAGAATTTCTCAAACTGGTAACTTTAAGATGTGCGGACTTCAACTCCCAGAATTCCTCAGCCAGACCTTTAGGATGGGGATAGATACCCTGGTGCCCAGAGAGGCCACGCTGCAGACCTCTTTATGATGGGATCTATTGCCAGAAACAGGTCTTAAGCACTCTACCAGCGAAAACGGGCTCCCGAACTCCGTTTTTGGTTGCAACAGCCTCCTGCAACCCTCTGCCAGTGAAAACAACCTTCCCAAGATCTGTTTTTGCTAGCAGAGGCACCACGGCCTGGTCTTTCACTGTTTCCAGGGCAGTGGGCCAAAACTGACCGAGTTTGATACCCCTGGTTTACAGTTTTACTTCTTTTAATTTATATTGTTGTTATTGAGGGCATTTCTATCGCTAACACTATCAGATTTTAGAAGCTTAAAAGTCTAACAAATGAAATGAGAACCCATTGCTCTTTGTGGTGACAGGAATGTAAGGTTGGATCAGGGCCGAATAAGGAATCTCATGTGCCGTGGTGGGTTCGGAAGAGTTTGGGGTACCAGGTTGTAGAAGACTGATCTAGATGGAACAAAATACTTGCAACGCCAAGATATGAATTGTCTTATTTTTCCTTATCAGACATTTACATCCAGAAGCTGAAGAAATCCTACCTGGACACTTGGTCAAAGCGCCACCTAAGTAGCATCAATACGGAGCTCCAGGACGTTCAGAAGATCATGGTGACCAACATTGAAGAAGTCCTCCAAAGAGGGGAGACCTTATCAGGTAGAGGAGGGAGAACCACGGGAAGAGTATCTTGGCCATCTTTTTTTTTTTAAACAAATTTTATTCATTTTTTCATATAAAAACAAAAAGCTCTTTTTAGTGGGCAACATATTTCCGGGTCATCACTTTTACATACAAATATGACAATAGTTATAGATTCATATATGCATACTTAATTCTATTATTATCTTTTCCATTCCAAACTTTCAGAAAGGAGAGAAACAAGCAATTTAATCCTAGTCTCTTAGATTAATCTCAACCCAAACATCCTTTCATTTCATTTCAATTATTTCAAATATAATCCTTTGATTTTTTTAAAAAAACAAAACAAAAAATAACAATATATGTTTGCCTAATAAAAAAAAAGTTACCAATGTCTCTCCTTCCTTTTAATAGTCTGTATTAGCTTATTAATTTAAATAGTTCTTTAATCTGTCATATTTTCTTCCCATCACACATTCTTTCTATAAATTCTAGATTAATACAAGTTTTAACACAAAAGAAAAAGAAACAAACATAGGTTTTCCCCCTTTTAGTGCTTTGATTGTAACATCTCAGTGGTTAAAATATACCTTTATTCCCTCATCTTAATTCCCAATAAACCTTTATTTTTTAGTAGTTACAATAATAATCATTACATCTTTTCATCTGGATTCTGCAATATGCGTCACTTTCTTCAGTGCCGTTGTAACTTTGGTCACTAAATGAACTTGTCAACTCATAAAATATTTCTCTGGCTATTTTTAGAGTTGCCAACAGAAAGGGAAGGGGGAAAGGGGTTTGTTTGGAAACCAAAAGTACATTCCATAAATAGTTTTTCAGAGACAGTAACTAGTTGACTGAAGTTTCTGCCGCGCAAAATTCTAACTGGAGAACATGACTGATGACTCTTGGCTATGGATGTGTCCCATTGGAGAATATGAATTACGATACACCCAGGGGGTGGGGGGAAAACCAGGGTCAAGGGTGACAATGAATGATGTGCCTCAGAGTTGGCTACACCCAGGCAGTGCCGGGCATGTTAACTCCCAATAAATCCTTTTGAAGTTTTGGAAGTTTGTCTCCAGACTCATGATTTAATTGGGGTAACTGCCGGAATCCTGACAGTTTAAAGCCAAGGACTGCCTGTATTAGTTTTTATCTTTTGAATTGTCATTTAATTGTCATTTTGAATAAAATTACTATAAAACAGAGGCCATCAAATTTGTTCTGAGGAGGCCATTCAAAATGGCTGATGCTTCTCGAACAGCTCCCTTTCTAAGCCTTGCCCCCCTTCCTCTTTCTCGAACCCCCAGAAGTAGGGAACCCTCAGCATCTTTTCCTGGCAAGGATGAATAGGAGGACAACTGAGGCAATTGTGTTTTTCTTTCTTTTCTCTCTTTTTTCAGCTCTGGACTCCAAAGCCAGCAACTTGTCCACCCTCTCCAAGAAATACCGCCATGATGCCAAGCTCCTCAACAGCCGCTCTGCCTATGCCAAAGCTGCCGCCACTGGCCTCATCTTCATGGTGCTTCTGCTCTACATCCGCTTCTGGTGGCTGGTGTGACCCAATCTGTCCTTGTGTTTCCAAGACCCTGGGTGACTTGGGCTTTTCCTTTGAGGAGAAACATGGAAATATTCCAAAAGTTCGCCCCTCGGGATGATGTTCCTGTTTTTTGGCATCACTCCCATTTGCCTGGTTGGCCTAGAACAGTAGCTGCAAGATGCTGAGTGGACCTACAACTATTTATAATGGGGGGAAAGCTGTCTTTCATAAGCCCCTGCCACAATAAATCTGTAGTCTTTGTGTGCATTTTTTTTAACATACTACAAGTCTCCCAGTGTGTGTTGCTGTCAGCATGCTGAGCCTTACGACCCTACAGCTAGATGTAAAATTTTCCTCCCATAATCCTCCCCAGTATCTGAAACATTGAAACCTAGAAAACCGACGGCAGAAAAAGACCTAGCGGTCTGTCATGCCTCTGTTGGAGTCTGACTCCGAGGGAGAGATGGAACAGCTGACAGAGAGTGGGAGTGTGGCTCCGGTGGTTGTAGAGGAAACTGGGGAAGGGCACAGGCCAGATGGACATTCAGAGGAAGACCCAGGCTCATCCCCTCTTCATCCTAGGGCACGCAGGGAGGAGTGGATAAGGGAGAAACATGAATGGCATGGTCTATGGGGGAGGAAGGGGCCCTGATCTCCTTAATGGGCTGCAGCTGGGAGGACTGGTTAAAAGGACAAACTACACATGGCAAATGGGTTGGAAGCAAAGCGTGCATTCTTGTCGGAGCTTATCTGTGTTTTGGCTTCCTCCCAACTGTGGTTACTGCATTATCTGGTAGAAGTCTGCAATTAATCATCCTTGCCTGCCGTAGTAATTCCTTCAGTGTGGTTTGTGTGGGATTTTTTATTTTGAATTAACTTTACTTTGGGTGCGGACTGCAGTTACTCCCTCCGTAAACTGTTTTCTTTAAGAGTTTGATATCCTGCAGAGAATAATTGGACACTGGGGCCAAGTTGGAGGCATTAAAGGGACTTTCTTCTATTTTTGTGACTTGGTTATTCTTGTGTCATGCCCCGGGTTGTCACACGGTCCATTGAGTCTGCCCTTTTATCAATGTATTATTTTTATTTATTAAATTAAATATTATGTATTAAATTTATCAAAGAGGTACCCTGTGGTAAGATGGCCACCCAACTTACCACAGGGTAACACTTTGAGTTTGTTTTTTTTCTTTTTAGCTTTTTAGCTTATTGTTTTTGATTGATTTTTTAAAAAACATTTTACTTGTTTTTATTTTAGTTTATCTTATTGTATTTTTGGGGATGATAAGACATGGGTTTGTCCCAAGCATGTTTAAACTCAGTTACTGATGATTGGCCTACTACTTCCCCTGGAAGTTAGTTCCAGTCCTCTTTCTGTGACATAATACTTTCTAACATTACTACTGAACTTCCCTCCTGTCAGTTTGAGGTCATGCCCCCCGTGTTCTTGATTTATTGTTTAATATTGAAAATACTGCCTTCTAGAACTTTATTCGCACCCTTAATATATTTAAAGATTTCCATTATGTGTTGCCCCCTTTTCCCTCTTGTCCTCCAGGCTGTATATCAGGGGTGTCCAACCTTGGCAATTTTAAGACTTGTGGACTTCAACTCCCAGAGTTCCTCAGCCAGCAAAGCTTTGCTGGCTGAGGAACTCTGGGAGTTGAAGTCCACAAGTCTTAAAGTTGCCAAGGTTGGACACCCCTGCTGTACATATTCAATTCCTCCAAGCTCTCCTGATATGTGGCGTGTCTTCTTCTCTCAGACCTTCTACCATTTTGTCCCTCAGACCTTCCACCATTTTTGTTGCCTGTCTCTGGACTCACTCAGTCTTATCAGAGTCTTTTGTTAAGTGTGGCCTCCAGAACTGGATGCTTGAAGTCTGACTAAAACCCTACATAGCAGGATTAGGAGTGCCTTTTTCTTTCTCTAGTGATGCATCCCAGATACAACATCTCAAATGCAATTGCTATCTCTTGATAGCTTGCAAAATGACGTTGGCATCCTGGTTTGTAAATTGGGAGATGGTGTAGTTATTACTATGAAAACAGGTAAAAACTCCCACCTAAGGTGAAAGTGTCCACCTAAGGAATCTTTATACAAATGAAATCACCAGGAACTGAATTCAGTTTGGAGGAAGTTATAACTTTACTTCATATCTGTGGGCTTTTGCACAATGAGTATAATCGGTAACAATATTCCATTCTTTAGAGAAGTACACCTGACACGTTCTCAGTGGAAGGTGAGCTGAATTGCAAAACACTACACGGTGGAATTAACAAATCAGGAAAACGGTGGAAGGTTTGATGAAACCTTCCATTTTAGGATTATCCGTTCCCATCCCACACCTGCTTTTCATGACCTCCATATATATATATTGGACTTCAGCTTATAGTATTCTCAGCAGCCTAAATTGCCAGGTTATTCAATCCTTCCCTGCAGAGAGGCCAACTCTGAAGACAGCTGTAGGAAGACAGCCGAGTAAGTCTCAATGAGTTTGAAGAGACTTCCTTTCAAGTCAATGGCTGTACGATGGTCTTTCCCATTCTCCTTGCCAGATGGGTTGAAATCCTACTTGCCAGGACAACACATCTGGAAGATGTTCTGGGGAAGATCTAACAAGGTGGGATGATAGGCATCAGGTTTTGAAAGATGACCTTAAGATCCAAGCCATGTTGCATCACATGTGACAGCAGAAACATCTGGAGATCTTTTGAGGTCACTTGCTGAAATGTCTTCATTTCTCCACACTGCCCTTGGATACTCCACCAATCCCAGCCACTGTCCTGCAAATTTCGCTGGGGAAAGCTACGTCCTTGGCCAAAGCTGTCATTGCTGACCCACAGGGCTCCTCACGCAGGGGGTGAGGATTCACTCCACTGCCTGCCCCATGGCCTCTTCTGGTGGGGTAGCCTCCTTAAAAGGTCCCTCGTTCTCTGGAACTGGAGCTAGCTGGGAAGGCTTGGGCGGGTATGGCCACCTGTGCAATTTGGAGGAAGGCTGTGGGCGAGGCCTGTGTGGGGAAAGCTGGCCAGTCCCAGGAGGAAGGCAGGATCTCTCCAGGAGAGAGAGGATGTCGTGGTGCAAACGCTCCAGGGCCACGTCTTTGGGGAGGCGACCTGAATGGTTCCGTAGGTTTGGCTTGGCACCGTGTTGTAGGAGAAGACAGGCCACTTGATAGCTTCCCTCACGGGCAGCCAGGAACAGAGGGGTCTGGGCCTGCAGACAGAGAGGGAAATGGGACAAAGAAGAATTAGGGGTGACATGATAGCAGTTTTTCAGTATTTGTGGGTCTGCCACAAAGAAGAGGGGGTCAAATTGTTCTCCAAAGCACCAGAGGGCAAGACAAGAAATAATGATTGGAAACTAATCAAACAGCAAAGCAACCTGGAATTAAGGAGAAACTTAACGGTTAGGACAATTAACCAATGGAACAGCTTTGCCATCAGAAGTTGTAGAGGCTTCATCACTGGAGGTTTTTAAGAAGAGACTGGACCCGTGATGGCGAACCTATGGCACGCGTGCTAGAAGTGGCACGCAGAGCCCTCCCAGTGGGCACACGTGCTATTGCCAGCTGCTCTTCTGGTTTCTGGCGCACACAGGCACACCGGCCATCTGGTCTTCACGGGGGCCAGAGCACCGGAAATGGCCAAAACCTTGGCCAAAAAACAAGCTGTTTTTGAGCCATTTTCAGACCATTTTTGTGCTGCTTTCAGGCTGTTTTGGGGGGTCCTTTTCAGTTGGTTTTCTGGGCATTTTCAGCCTGGTTTCCAAGCCATTTTTGAGCCGTTTTCAGGACATTTTTGGCCCAAAAATGCCCTGAAAATGGTCCAAAAACCATCCCAAAATGCCCCCAAAACAGGCATGCATGCATCGGCCAGCTGGTCTTTGGTTTTCTAGCATTCCAGCACACGCACATGCACACGTGTTCTAGTTTGGGCCGAAAAGGTTCGCCATCACTGGACTAGACAGTCATTTGTCTGAAATGGTATAGGACAGGGGTGGGATTCAAATTTTTAACTACCGGTTCTGTGGACGTGGCTTAGGTGATGGGCTGGACATGGCTTGGGGGGTCATGTTATTGGCTGGGCATGACCAACTCAATATTACTCACATGCATTTCCTCGCCTGGCCTCTCATGACTATGGGGATGCTGCAACTGTTGTAAGTGGGAAAAATGGTCATAAGTCACTTTTTTCAGTGCCACTGTAACTTTGTATGGTCACTCCATACAAGCAAAGCACCAGCAAAGGAGGGGAAAAAAAATTCCAGAGAAGTTCCAGAGACAGGAGGTCTAGTCCTGCCAAGAATGTAATAAGGGTTAACGGAGAGGCAGTTTCTGTAAGCAACACCAGAATGTTTCCTTCCTGCCTTCCTTACAGGATTAGGCCAGTAATTTCTTCTAGCAACTGGTTCGCCGAACTGCTTAGAATGTTAACAACTGGTTCTAGCGAATAGGTGCGAACTAGTAGAATCCCACCCCTGGTATAGGTTCTCCTCCTTGAGCAGGGGGCTGGACTAGAAGACCTCCAAGGTGCCTTCCAGCTCCTATTCTATTCTATTCTATTCTATTCTATTCTATTCTATTCTATTCT